TTTTTAATGCTTCTTCCCTTTTTTGGGGCCCCCTTCCTCCCTTTTTAAGCCTTTTGAGCCTCGCCTTTGCACGTGGCCCATTCCAAACTCTTTGGAATGTAATTTATCTTCTAATAATGGGCCCCTGAGCCATTCTCTACTGCTCGGGCCCACTTCTATTTCTTGAAAGTGTACTATCTTTTATAATAAACTGCTTTTTCACTCCTTTGCTCCAGTATCTCATTCAATTCTTTGCTCAAGTTGCCAAGGACCTGGACTGTGCGCTGAGAAGGGCCCACTCTCCGACAACATTTTGATTGTCCCATGAGTGGTAATTGCATCAATGCAGATGATGGCTCTCACTTAGTGATCTACAAATCTGTTAATTTTGTCTATTTCAACTTCTTTCCTCCAACATCACCTTGACAAGTTGTATGTGAAACATGAAGAGTGTAGGAGAAATGCTTCTTAATACAATTTACAACATCACAGAGCTGAGCACGGAGAGCCCAGCTCTGACTGCAACATCTAGCTCTAAACAAGGGCACCGAGGGTCCTGCCGTCAGATGTTTTGTCTTAAGGGTGATCACCATGTATGTTTACAAATAAAAAACATGAAGCGTTCTGACAACCAAGCAACCCATGAAGAATTAAACTTCCCAAACAGGAAAACACACTGCACCATCCTTGCTGCGATTCATTTGAAGAAACGCCTTCACTCAGAGCCTCTCCACTTCCTTTCCCCACCGCCTGCCCAACCCCCGTCAGGTTTATTCCTCACAGACATGTTACTGTACAGGGCAAGGTTCCACGTGGAGAGAGAAGGGTCCAATGTTGAAGGAATCAGCTTTGTAATGACAAAATCAAACTTTTCCAGTAAACGTGTTTGAGCAGCGTGTTCAGTAGCAGTGTAAGATTTATAAAATAATCAGCACCGCCTTAGATGTTTTCCGTGACTCCCCAGTGCCTTCCAAAGAAGTCCCTTGGAATTTCAGTCCCTCTGTTCTCTTCTTAGTACAATCACTGCTACGCTTCAGTGGGCTCCAGACAACCAGACCAGCTCGTCTTCCCTGACCATTTTCCCTCTCATGTTCTTCCCTCTCTGCTTTTCTTATGTCAGTCGTTACACTACAAAGCCGCTCTCTACCCTGACCCTGACCAAAAGCCTACCTCCCCTCAATGCCTAACACAAGGGGTCCTTCCTCAGGAGGCTCCCGTGATCGTTCAGCTGGATGTAACCCTCCATCTCTTCCAGTCCTGTAGACTTGTTTTCAGCTGTTAGCACATTCTGCCTCATTTATAGACGTTTGTACACTTGCCCGATACCCCCTACAACACTGCAGTCTCCAGTAGAGTACCCAATGAAGAAATATCGTGAATACAAAACAGAGTGTCTTGTTGCTATGAACTGAAGTGTAACCCCCTCCCTGCCCCAATTCATGTGTTGAAGCCCTAACCCCCCAATGTGTCAGTACTGGGAGACAAGAATATTAGGAAGTAATTAAGGTGAAATGAGATCATAAGGATGGGGCTCTCCCTACACACACACACACACACACACACACACTCACACACACCACACACCACACACATACACGCCACACATACACGCCACACCACACACACACACACACCGCCACACACACACTGAAGAAAGGCCAGGTGAGGACACAGCAAAAAAGGCAGCCCCCTGTAAGCAAGAAAGAGCATCCTCACTGGAAAATGAATCTTGCTAGACCTTGATTTGGACTTCCTTGTCTCCAGAGCTATGAGAAAATACATTTCTATGGTACTTATCTGGAGAACGTTTCAGGGACCATCCCAATGAACCGTAGAAAAGTAGTCAAACTTGGCCAACCCAGTTTTCAACGAAAAACTCCTGATCTATTTCATTGGAAATAAAGTCTAACAATTTAGCTATATAAATACTTCTTAAATACCATAACAAGAAGTTGATGAAAGAATAAAACATAATGAGTTGATGTGCTGCTCAATAAGAGAATGGTTATTTTCTCTTCTCTTCTCTCCCTCTGTCGCTTCTAAATATTATTTTTTATGGCTTCTTGGCAGTAGAAAAAGACTCTTTAAAACTATGACCCAACATCAGGGAGAAAACAGACTAGTCTCTTAAACTAATGGCTGTTGTTGAGGACTCCTTTAGCGATATTCAGCTAGGAAAAAAAAAAAAGGAATAAAAAGAACTTTGCAATAAACGACCTTCACGGAAGAAGACTATTCATGTTAATTAGTAGCTCTTTTCAAATATGATTCATATATGCATTAGGCCATGGCATGCCGAACAATGTACGCATTATAGTAAACATCAAGATAAGTTTCAAGTATGGTTATCAAAATTTTAGAAAACTCTAGCTAGGGTTTTGTTGTGTTTTTTTTTTTGCTTGGTTTTTTTTCCGTAAGACTGTGACTTGCTGCTCCTAGTGCATTGCACAATAGTATCTCTCCTAATGGCTTTTAGCTTTTCCCACTGCCAACTTTTATATTTAAAATCCATACAATTATGGATAATTTATGAACATTATGAAGCTTTTCTTTTTTGCACTGATTCTTACTGATTCAAGCCAGCTTTTATCCTTAGCAAATCAAATGCATTTTGCTTATAACACTAGCTTCATTCTCACATATTCCACTTTATTCTTATTATTAGTATTTCTTATTATGCATATTTAATTTAAGAATGCATTTTCTCCATTAAAAAATTAGAATATGCTGAAAGAAGGACTAGAAGGTGATTATTTGCTTTAGTTTGCTTTTATTAACTATGTAAGCCCTGATACGATCTTCCCAAAGTTACAAGCAAGAGACCAAAATGCTAAAACAAACAAAAAAAATTAAAAATGAAATCTGCTTAAATATCACAGAACCTTATGTAATGAAGTTGTATTAGGCATTAAGTTCAAATAAGAGATGGCTAAAAGTCTCTCAATAGTATGTGAATGGAAAAAGGATATCAATTTGCTGGAGTTCCTTAAGCAAATATACCACTAAGTATGGCTCTTTAGAGATTAGTCCAGCAAGATGCACCTTGAAGAAAAAGTGTGAAGGCAGGTGTGCACCGTACCCACCTCCACGTACCACCCCTCCACCACCTCAGTCTTCCCCCTAAAACAGGAAAATGAATGAGCCAATCCTTAGAGTTTTTCCTTACATTGAGCTCCTTTAGCAAAATAGCTGGGAGCTTAGGATCTGCAAGAAAATAAATAACCAGTTAGAGTTTCCTTTTTAATTTTGCAAGCATTGATTGGAGGCCACCCATCAAACGATTTTGTTGTTTTTCCTATGTGTTGCCTAACAAGTGTGAAGCTCCCCACTTCTAGTCCACTGTTCCTGATTTCGCTGGTTGTTCTGAGATTGTGAAGGGAAACCAAAGAACAGAGGTTTTGTGTCTACTTGATTGCAGGGAGCAGTCTCCTCTTCCTCCGACCTCACCGCAAGGCATTCGCCACCACACGCACAGATGTAACCTGGGTTTGCAGAGTAGGGTCCTGTACCAACCACACTGACTAAAGCAGGGAAGAACAGAAAGCACATTTGTTAATATTCTGCTTATACAGTGTTTAAGTGTAATCATTTGCTATTGGTCTGAGACCTTAAAATCTATAGACACCAGCTGACTTCATCTCATTATAAAAACAAAAACAAAAACAAACAAAAAATTAATACTATCTAACATTTTCTGGCACCTGTTAAGCTTCTTTTATATAAAGGGCACCATACCAGCTACTTTTGATAAAACATATTACATAATTATAATTCACCTACAACAATTTCAGCCCATATTATAGGGATAAAAATCCTTGTTCCCTTACTTACTAGCTCTGTGAATATGCACATATTCCTCTCTGTACCTCGGTTTTCTCATCTGAGAAATAGGGACAGTAATAATACCTACCTCATAAGGTTGTTGTAAAGATTAAATGTAATGCACGTAAAACCATCAAAACAGAGTGTGTCAAGTCCAATTTCTTCCTGTGTATCCTGGGTCCTGTGTCTCTAAGGGCCCTTGGGATATTTCTCTCCATCTAGTAACCCCTAGTATTTTGGAATTTTCAATCTCATTCTAGCGAGAGAGCGAGAAAGGAAAGGAAAGCCAGCTACCAGCACCGCACACCCCCTGCTCTCCCAGGTGACAAATTGTATCTCTACTTGATGGCCTCATTACCCCCAGGTGGGCCCTCATATCTTGAATGAAAATAGAATATTTTAGTTGAGACCTTTAGTTGAGGCGTGAAAACAAAAACATAAACAGACCTAAATTAATTAGCTTACCAAGGGTTTCCGGTGGTCTGGGGTTTTCTGCTCATTCCTGATGCTCCCTTTTGTCAACTGAATCCTTTACTTGTGTCCTGTTGACTTCTATAGTACACCCCACTCTCCTTACCTACCAGCCCAGCCAGGACCCTCTCTCATGAAACTACTTTTTTTTTTTTTTTAGTTCTTCCACCACCATGACCAAAATCAAAACATCAAAAAGCAGTGAGGGTGGGCCTGACCAAGTGGCTCAGTTGGTTAAGAGCGCGAGCTCTGAGCAACAGGGTTGCTGGTTCGATTCCTACATGGGCCAGTGAGCTGCGCCTGAGCTGAGCTGCCGATGAGCTGCCAAGAGGCGGAAAGATGGCTCAGCTGGTGAGAACACATGCTCCTAACAACAAGGTTACCGGTTAGATTCCTGCACGGGATGGTGGGCTGTGCCCCCCCTTCCCCCGCAACTAAAATTGAACACGGCACCTTGAGCTGAGTGGCTGCAAGCCGCCGACAGGCAGCTGGATGGCGACTGGACTTGGAGCTGAGCCAGCTGCGCCCTCCACAACTAAGATTGAAGGACAACAACTTGGCTGTTCCCCTTCCCCAATTCCCCGATAAAATCTTAAAACAAAACAAAACAAAACCAAAAAAAATATATAGTAGTAATGTTGTTATTTGCTATCTTGACAACTAAGTTAATCAAGTGATCACATAGAGATGGGTTACTAATATTAGGAAAGAATCATTCAGCAATATTTAATACGTAAATATTCTACCTGGTTTTAAAAAGCAGCAGTAAGGGTAAGGTGAGAAGGCAAAGCTTTCCATAGTCTCAATAGTGATGTAATAATGAGCATCAGCAACCTAATTTTAAATCCTGAATCCTCAAATTAAAATATCAGAAGTGTATCCCATTTATAATCTGTAATTGCCCTATTTATAAGGGGTCCAAAGTCTCACGTGTTTGTTTTCATTAGGTGTTATTTTTAACAATATATTTCAAAATTGATGCCTCATTCCCAAATGCTGTGTTTATGTATCATTTTACAGTAGCTCCAGGGGCCTGTGAGTTTGTACCTCTTGACCCACCAGTGAGGGCTAGGTCAGATTAATCATGGCGTTATTAGGTCACACATTCTAACTGTCTGCCTCTGGAAGAAAGTCTTGTCTTCTGCAGTACAATTATCTAAGACTAACAATACAGACCAAAGTCATTATGATAAAATTGACTTGGTGTAGATCTTCTCAGCCATAGCTCCAACCTCATGACCCATTTAGTAGGCTACATTTTCACCATGCCAATAGAAGGCAAAGGATCTTGAATGGGCAGATTATATGCAAAATACTAGAATCCTTTTAACAAGGAAAGACGGGAGATACTGCTTATTGGAGATGGATCTACATTATGAGTATCATGCTCCCATCAGCTGGAGAGAGATCAGATTCGGTGATGCTTAAGAACACCAGACCAACACCCATCAATAATCAGAGCGTAAGCATCTCGATTTCCGAATTTCTCTACATGGAAAGACTAGACAGTTGCCAAATATTTGTGAGGTTTGAATGAAGAACTGAAGTGGGATGATATTCAATGGTCAGCAGCGTGGTCCTTCATGCACATCGTATGGAAAGGTGAGGTCTGAAGAGCATGGAGAGGGTTGCTCTGGGTCTGGAACTTTCTGCTCATCCCTGATGCTCCCTTATGTCAACGGAATCCTTTACTTGTCCCTTGTTGATTTCCATAGTACACCCCACTTTCCTCTCCTACCAGCCCGTCCAGGACTCTCCCTCTGAAAATGCCATTTTATGTTGGTGGAATATTTGAGGTCATTAGACATGACAACCTCAGACTCTCATGTGTCCACCTCAAAATTTCCAATGTTCTGTCTGTACTCCTCTCCAAGCCCACACCTCCACTTGTGTCCTGGGTTCCATGCCTCTGGAATTTTCTCTCAACAAAAAATTCCCTAGCATTTTGGAATCTTCAATTTCTTTTTTCTCAGTGTTTCTCTCTCTCTCTCTCTCTCTCTCTCTCTCTCACACACACACACACACACACACACACACACACACACACACAGAAGCAACTATAGTTGTGTCCCTAAGTCTATTAAGTCAATACAATATTAAGTAGAAGAAGAGACAATACACATAGGAGTAATGTTGTCCAGCAAGAAACACAGGAATAAAATAATTATTTTTAACTTTATTGATGTATAACTTACATATTATTAATAACATCCATTTAGAATGTACAATTCAATGAATTTTGACAAATGTATGAATCCATGAAACAGCCATCAAGATATAGAACATTTTCATAATTCTTTCAAATTACATTGTGCCCTTTGATCTTCTGTCTAGTGTGTATATCAATAATTCATTCTTTTTTTACTGCTGAGTGATAGTTTATTGCATAGATATACTACAATTTGCTTATTTATTCACCTGTTGATGAACATTTGGATTCTTTCCAATTAGGGGCTATTGTGCACAGTACTTTGTGTGGGCATATATTTTTATTAATATTTGTTTTGGGTAAATACCCAAGAGTAGAACGGCTGGTAGTATTGTAGGTATGTGTTTAACTTTTTAAGAAACTGACAGTTTTCCAAAGTGGTGGCACCATTTCCATTCCCACAGCAATATATGAGAGTTGTGGTTGCTCCGCATCATTGCCAACATTTAGTATGATCAGTATTTTAAATTTCATTCATTCTAGTGGGAATGTAGTGGTACCTCATTGTGGTTTTAATTTGCATTTCCTTGATAACTAATGATTTTGACCATCTTTTCATGTGCTTATTGGTCATTTGCAGAGCTATTTTTGTAAATTGTGTGTTCAAATCTTACACCCATTGTCAACATCAGATTGTTTTCTTATTGAGTTATAAGGGTCCTTCATATATTCTAGATACAATTTCTTTGTTAAATACATGCATTGCAAATATTTTCTTTCATTTGGCTTCCCTTTTTATTTCTTAATAATATCTTTGAAGAGCAAAAGTTTTAAATTTTGATAAAGTCAAGTTGTCACTTTTTTTCCTAAAAACCATAAAATAGTTTGAATTTTTTATGCCCTAAGAAACCTTTGCCTGCTTCTATGTCCTAAAGATTCTATCCTATGTTTTATCTGAGAATTTTTATAGTTTCATCTTTTACATTTAGGTCTATGGTCCAAAATCATTTTAAAATACTATTTTATGATTATGAAATTAGCAAAAGTTATTCTAAAACAAAACCACTGAGTGATTCATAATCAATTTTTAATGTTTATGCTTCCAGTTCTTGTTGAGTTTAGTTTTGTCTTGGAGAAGGTGTAAAACAAGAGAGTTGCATATATTGTGTGAATCCTTTGGGTTTTTTGTTTGTCTGTTTTTTACTTAAAATTTGATTTTACAAAAACTTTTAAGCAGTTTTTTATATTCTAGCATATGTTGAGAACATTTTACCAACAACTTTTTATATTTTCAAAATCATAATATGAAATAGCTGCAGAGAATCCCATCTTATTAATATGAAAAAACTTTTTAGCCAGTCCCTTTCTTTGGTATTTATCTTGTTTCCAATTGTTTACTATTATAAACAATTTTGTACTTAATGTATTTTGACATAAGTCTGGAATCTCTGATTATTTCCTTCAGATACATTTTTATTGTAGATTTATTAGTTTAAAGGATAAGACAAATTTTAAAGCTTTTGATAAATATTGTCAGAAAGACTGTAGCAAATTACAGACCTTCTAGTAGTTTGTGAAAGCATAGCTGCACCCTCCCCAATCTGGGGAATTGTCATTAGTTTTAATCTTAGCAAATGTATTAGGAGAAAATAATAAATTTTATCATTTTCATCAGACTTTAGTAAGACCAAATATTTTTTTCATATGTTTTTTGGTCATTTGTGTTTTTTCTTTGTGGATTACTTGTTCAAGTCCTTAGTCTATTTTTCCCTAACAAGATATTATTTTTTATTGAATTATAAAAGCTTTTTATGTATTAATGTATGCCAATCTATTAATATGTTTACCCATTTCTGATATAGAGGCATTTCAAATATTTTCTTGTGTGTTATGGTTTACTTAATTTTGATTATATTTCTAATCTGCAGAGGGTTAAGGTTTGTATAATCCAATCTATCAAATTCTTGAATTAGAAAGGTTTTCTGCACCTCAGTAACATACATTTGGATAAATCTAGGAGGGATTAATAAAAGGCTTACTTAGAAATCTAAGGGCAGGGTGTAGGTATAAGGGGAAGTG